ATAGAAGCAGGCTCCCTGCCGAGCAGAGAGCCCGATGTGGGACTCGATCCCAGGACCCCGAGATCATGACCTGAGCCGAAGGCAGCGGCTTAACCCACTGAGCCACCCAGGCGCCCCCCCCCTTTTTTTAATTTATTTGACAGACAGAGATCACAAGTAGGCAGAGAGAGAGGAGGAAGCAGGCTCCCTGCCGAGAGGAGAGCCTGACGCAGGGTTCAATCCCAGGACCCTGGGATCATGACCCAAGCCGAAGGCAGAGGCTTTAACCCACTGAGCCACCCAGGCGCCCCAAGATTTTTTCCTTATAGGAGTTTTCTGGGGGCACCTGGCTGGCCCAGTTGGTGGAGTGCGCAACTCTTGATCTTGGGGTTGTAAGTTTTGAGCCCCATGTTGGGTGTAGAGATCACTTAAAAATAAAATCTTAAAAAAAAAAAAAAGAAGTTTTCTAAATTATAAGTGAAGAATGATAGAATCAGACTACGACAGCTCTGCAATCCGTAACGAAGCAGAGGAGCAGAGGGAGAAGGCAGACACCAAACGTCATGTGCCTCCTGCAGAAGTCCACACCACCAGCCAGAAGTGTCTTGGAGGAAAAAAAAAAAAAATGAACCTAAATTTGGTCAAGTCTCCAGTCTACAGGAAAGAAAAGGGACAGAAGAAAGCATCTTAAATGATAATATAGGGATGACAACAGCAAAAACCACAACTTGAGAAATGACAACATGAGAACAAATGACCCGGTTCTTTCTACACATAAACTGCAATTTAAAAGAGAGAGTAGGGCGCCTGGGTGGCTCAGTGGGTTGGGCCGCTGCCTTCGGCTCGGGTCATGATCTCAGGGTCCTGGGATCGAGCCCCGCATCGGGCTCTCTGCTCAGCGGGGAGCCTGCTTCCTCCTCTCTCTCTGCCTGCCTCTCTGCCTGCTTGTGATCTCTCTCTGTCAAATAAATAAATAAAATCTTAAAAAAAAAAATAAAAAAAAATAAAAGAGAGAGTATACAATAAATAAATAAATGTGTCAATAGGATCTAATTAATTTTCATTAATCACTAATAAATATCACTATATTCCTAAAAAAAAATAATAACAGAGAGAATACATACAAAAAAAACAAAAACAAACCCTCAAGGGCTGTCTGGTCAGTGGAGCACGTGACTCTTGATCTCGGGGTCATGGGTTTGAGCTCCATATTGGGTGTAAAGATTACTTAAAAAAATGAGATCTTTTTTAAAAAAATCCCTCAAAAGACGTAACCAATTGCAATGCATGAGCCTTATTTAGAACTCAATTTGAAAAAACCAACCATTAAAAAAAAATTTAAGAGGGGAGCCTGGGTGGATCAGTCAGTTAAGAGACTACCTTTGGCTCAGGTCATGATCCCAGGTCCTGGGATTGAGCCCTGCATTGGGCTTGCTGCTCATCAGGGAGCCTGCTCCTCCCTCTTCCTCTACCCCTCCCCTGCTTGTGCTCTCTGTCTCTGTCAAATAAATAAATAAAATCTTTAAAAAAAAAATCTATGAGACAATCACAGAAATACGAACAGTGGATATTTGATGGTTATTAAAGAATTACTGTCATGTATTTTTAGGTTTGATAACTGTACTGGAGTTGCACTTTAAAAAATATTTACATGGGCACCTAGGTGTCTCAGTCAGTTGAACATGAGACTCTTGGTTTTGGCTCCGGTCATGATCTCAGGGTTGTCAGATCGAGCCCTGCACCGGGCTCAGTGCTCGGTAAGGAATCTGGTTGAGAGTCTCTCTCTCTCTCCCTCTCCCCCAACCACCCTCAAGAGTGCTCTACATAAATAAATAAATAAAATCTTTTTAAAAATATTTATGGATTAAATAATACAGATTATTATACAGTTGGGGGATTAGAAGAGAATGATGGGAGTACAGATGAGACAAGATTGGCCCTGAGTTGGTATAAAGTTGGATAATGGGCACAATGGCATTCATTATACTATTCTATTTTTGTGTATTTTTAATGTTTCCCCTAATAAACAACTTCAATTCCAGAATCTTTTCTCCAGGTTTTCTATTATTCCCATGGCAATCATTTCACTTTTCTTTCACAGGAATTAAACTTAGTATAAATGTCTACTTACCAGGGTTCTCCTGGTAGTTACCATGAGTTGGAGTCTTTCCCCAACTAGAAACAAGACTCAGCCCTCATTGTGACGACCAAAATTTAAGAGACCAGATTGTAAAAATAACAAGAAGATAGAGTTTGAGCCTGATTCCATACCAAATCCACAAGCACAGCCAAAGGTCAAGGACAATGGAGACAGACTCAAAGAAAGAAATCAATAGTAGGAGGAAGGCCAGCACTGGCCTTCCCAACTTCTCAGCCCCTACTGCTCCTAGTTGCTACTATCGACATCTAGCTATTCCTCTGTTCTAGATCTTCATCATAAAGATCTCATGCCTTCCAGCTCATATCCAAGGCTGCCATTCTCACCAAAACTGTTAACTACTAGGACTTTCAGCCACCATCCTTTTGCTGCTTCTGTAGCACTAATCTCAGGGTTTTGAAAGCCATCCACTCATCTCTCTCTCTCTACTGGATAATGATCTCTTTGAGTCAAAGACTATCTTATAAGGAGAGGCCACACTGTGTGTTGGTTTGGAGTTCTAAGCCTCTAGTTACTAGCTGGGTTCCTTGGCCAGTCACTCTGTGTCTGAGTTTCTCTATCGGTAAAGTGCAAATAACAACTGTATTTACAGGTTGTTGTGAATACGGAATGTAGTATATATGTGGCTTAGAACCATTCCTGGCACCTAGTGAGAACTTAATGAAAGATGGCTACCATTACTACTGTGTGGTGTTACTGACGGGAATGTCAATATTAATTTTTTGTATACCCAGGATCTAGCACATCCGCTTATACAAAGATTCTATTCAACGAATGTTGATGGAAGAGATGACTCACCACCATCAATATACCCTAGATTCATCTATTCTGCTATCAAGTCCCTCTGCCTACACTTTCTCCGGCAGTACTCCTGATGGCTCTGAAATGGATCACTCTCTGAGATCAGAACGCCGCCTTGAATTTGGTCACGAAACTCGTTCAAGGATATGCACCACAGAATGTAGAAAACGGCCAAGGATACTTTAACCCAGAAAACTTATTCTAAAGCTGATAAAATTATGACCCTTGACTGTAGATTTCCCACCCATGAGCTAGACCCCCATCCCCGGTTCTGACTTACAGTAGCCACGGAAGGAATTCCAAGTGTTGGGCAGGTAGGTGTGTTGTACAGAGGAACCCTGCTGCTGCTGCTGGAGAGCCTGGCCTGGTGTGGAGGCGCCGCCTTGGATATGGGAGGGGCTGAGCCCTTGCTGGGACTGCTGGGAGGCAGGGCTCAAGGACTGTCCAGCTGCCTAGAGAGAAAGACAAGGCTCAGGTAGAAAGCCAATCACTTCTAATATAGTTAAGACTCACAAATAATTGAAGGGAGTAAATCTGGCTAGCATGAATGATAACACTGAAAGTGTGTTATCTAAATAATAGTATTTTAAATAAGAAGAGGATTAATGAAAAGGAATCATAACTATCAAAACCCAATTCATTTTCCAAGGATTATCTACAAGAATATCCACAAAATTAATTTTACTAAGCTCATTAGAAAGATAAATGAATGAAAGTCTAAGTATCTTAATTACATTAAGATTTTTAAAAATTGAGAAGTTAAAGAGCTTGCCTGTGTCACAGAGCGAATCTATAACACAAACTGAAGCAGAACCCAGAAATCATCATTTCCACTGAGTATACCGGGAAATCCCACCCACTTAGTGGAGATAAACACAGGTGTGGAGGCAGACATCCAGAGAGAGGTTTATTCCTGTCCATAGGATAGAACCCAAGCTCCCTAGTTTGCCCTTCAAGCCCTCCAGATTCCAGCTCCAAACTACCTTCCCAACTACTCTCCCAAACATCATTTCCTGTTAGTAAACTAAACAGTTTTCCATAAATGTACCAGTTTCCCACCTCTGAGCCTTTACTCACAATGAGAGCGTATTCAGATCCTAATGCCTTGCCCAACTACCATGTCAAAATCATACCCCTCCTTCAAGACCTAACTCAGATACCACTTTCACAGAAACCTCCTTGATTCCCTGCTAAACGTAATCTTTCCCTCTTCTGAAAGCCCAGAACTTATCTATATAGCCACATAATCCTCAGACCCAGGCAAGACCCAACCTTAGACCATGGCCCTGGAATATGTGTCCCTTTCTAGGTGACACTTGGGAACCAGAGTCCCCCATTCCCTGTGGAAATGGCCCTGCACCCACTTCCAGGGCCTGCACAAGTCTCTTGCCTGGGCCTGTCATCTTGTAGGGGTCCTATCTCTTGGATGTGGGCTCCTCTAAGGGTATTTGGCCACAGGGGACTAAAGGGGTAGCTGTGGGATCACCTTTGCAGGGATGTGGAAGTAGCTGGGACACGTGGGTTGGGGTGTCCACATGGGTACACAGAAGGCCCTGTGAGGTGCAGGATGGAGGCTGGGTGAGAAGAAATGGAGAGCAGTCTTGGGGAAGGTTGTCCCTGAGCCACCACCTTCTGAGAAGGAGTCCCTCCAGCCTAGGGTTCCTTTGAGAAACTTAAAAGTGTGATACCTGTGGTGGTGGAAAAGACGGGCCCCTTGATGACAGAGGTGACTGTCTGGGACGAGAAAAAGTGACAGAAACCTCACAGCCGCTGAACCTCACACTAGAAGGAGGAGAGCGGCCACAGATGGCAAGCAGCAGAGCCTCCCATCCCCAATGTCCCCCAGTAAACAGGAATGCAGAGAAAGTGCATGTTTATCCTGTGGATGTCCACAGCAGCTTGAAGGGCACAGAGCCAGCAAGGGAGGGAGAAATCCTTCTCTCTCTTCTTCCCGTCCCCAGCCTGGCAGCTGCCAGCACCACCCATACTTTTGGCAGGAAGGCAAGTAATTTCCAATCGGCACTAACCATGTTACTTAGTATCAGTTGTGACTTAGCATATATTTTTCAATTTTGTTATTATGCAAATATATGTGTCAAGTAGGAAGGCAGAACATACATTTTTTTTTAAAGTTTTTATTTAAATTCTAGTTAGTTGGGGCGCCTGGGTGGCTCAGTCAGTTAAGTGTCTGACTCTTGATTTCGGTTCAGGTTGTGATCTCAGGGTGGTGAGATCGAGCCCCCTGTTGGGCTCCCTCCTCAGTGGGGAGTCTGCTTCTCCCTCTCCTTCTGCCCCTTACCCTGCTCATGCTTGCTCTCGCTCTCTCTCAAATAAATAAATAAAATCTTTAAAAAAGAGAGTTTGTTTCTTCGTTTGCCCCCTCTCTCTTTTTTTTCCCTTTGCTCATGTGTTTTGATTCTTAAATTACAGATATGAGTGAAATCATATGGTATCTGTCTTTCTCTGACAGACTTATTTCACTTAGCATAATAGTCTCTAGCTCCATCCATGTAGTTGCAAAGAACATATTTAACAGTTTGTTAGCTTAATTTGAAACTTTAAACTGCCTCGACACACGGCATACAGGCTTTCGTTTGTACTCTTGTTCTGGAACCTGTGAATACCAGAAGTGGGCTTACATGTGTCCTTTCTGGTTCAAATACCTTCGCTTCATATCCTGTTTGCTTCTGTATATATGTCATAACCCTACTAGACTCCAAGCTCGGAGGGCAAGACCTAGAAACGTTTCATGCAAAGGGTAAGATTGTAAGAAATATTTTTTGAATGGATGTAGCTATGCTGTCTCTATCATACAAACACAATAATACACCACAAAGTCACAGTTCCAAAATTCAAGGAACAACTGAGCAACCGCATGCTATCAGAGAGCCATTTAGAACAGGAAGCAAAGGCCAAGGCTGTCCCTAGAATATGAGATCACAGGGCTCCTTCTGCTCAGGGGAAGCTCATCACTTAATGCAAGTGTGCCCATAATGCCAATATAAAACCCAGAGGCAAAGGCAGGACCTATAATGAACGCCCAAAAATCATTTTAATAGCCCAGGTACCTAGGTCTGAAGATGATGTCTCTTCACTCACATGAACGTTCCTGGGTCCCCAGGACCAAACTGCCCTCGACGAACAGTCGGAGAACATACCTGGGATGACGAGGGGGTGGAGGGAGTGGGCTCTGTGACTTGGATGTGTTGCACCTGGATGGCATGCTGGGTGTAGGTCTGAGGGTCGTGGAGCTGGCCAACGTCCACAGTGGACTGCTGAGACTGGTGTGGGGAAGTGGCCTGGGGGATGGGAAGACCAAACACATACTGATTAAGGGGAAGGGAAATCCTTCCAGAGAAAACCTTCAGCTGCACCAATACCCCAGCAGGAGAGCAGATGGAACTTCACATCTGGGGTTTCGCTCCCAGAGAGCCCACACCTAAGCCATGTTGGGAAGCATTAGCAAAGACGATTGTTTTTAAAAGTTACACTTAAAAAAACATAAGCCACTAATGCTATTTAATTCTGAAAGAAAAGGGCAGAAAGGGAAATATAGCTCCTCATCATGAGTGAGAAGCTCTCAGGAATCAAAAGTCCTTTTCCCTTAAGTTTCATTTAGTTTAATGCCTTACCCTTGACAAGAGAATTTGCTTTCAGCTACTGACCCACTAGAAGAGTGGTCCCCAACCCTTTTTAGGTACCCCAGACATCTCTGAAAATCTGGCTTTCCACAGCAGTGGAATTATTTTCCAGAATAATGTACATATACATCACACTTCATAGGCAATCCCAGGGATTCATAGGTTCCTCCAAAGCCTGAAGTTAAGAAATATCCCACAAGAAAAACAAGAGAAAGAACAGTCAATGATAGTAGCAACTCCTCCTTTCCTGCTCTGGTATTCGTCCAGAATTTTCAGACCAAATTAGTTCAAAGCCACAGGTTTGATCATTTGTGCCTTGAATACACTTCCTCAGCATAATTAAATGAAACAATAGTTCTGGGAGGATTTCTTCTTTTAGCTCCCTCATCAGTGAGAATGAGCTACCAATTATCTGGTAGAAGGAACAGAATTACACCTCTGTACTAATAACGTGCTGATACTCAAAACTCAAGATCGTTCTTTACAACCTCCCTTTCGATGCCCAAGTCAGCATGTACCAAACTAGTTCTCCACCAAGTAGTCAACTTTGGAGCTCAAGGACTCAGAAGAGGCTCTGAAAGATCACAGGGGACTGTCCCAGGTAGCACAGGAGGACAGTATACATGGCAGCCCGAAACGGCTAGACTGCTCTTGAGGGAAATCTCTTACACCGCTAATTCCACAGCCCTGTACAGCCCGGAGGGCAGGAGAGCTTTACAACAAAAGCCTTAGACTCAGAACTTACACGCAAAGCACGTGACGTGGAATCCAGCTCTAGGTCTGAGAATTGGGTGCTTTTGTTGACCACCGCCCCCCCCCCAGCCCCGCCATATTGGCTAGTGGCCATATGACATTGGTGAAGGTAAAGAGAAACATGTATACCGGAGCCACTTGAACCACTTGAAGCTGTATGTGCTGAGGCTGCTGAAGACCGGATGTTGACTGAGACACGGGAATGTACTGAATTCTCTGGTAGTCCCCCTGTGACGTTCGGTAATCTGTGGTTAAGGTCTGGGACAGTTCTGTCATGGCTTGAGTCAGGAGGTCTGTTGTCTAGAAAAGTCACAAAAAACACATTAGCTGGTGACACTACTGCTTGTACAAATTAGCCCTGAGCTCAGGCAGGAGAAATCCGAAGGTGAGAAGATACTGGAAGATTACCCATGCGTCTGCATCAGCCTGTCTGTGTCAGCCCCAGTGGGGCTACCAGAGAGGTTCTGACAGTCTCCCACACAGGAGCAGCACTGAACATTTCTAGCTGCCCCTTCTACGGAGAGCTTTGGAAAGCATCAACCAGGAGACCAGCCATAAGCATAATACCCTGGGTAGAAAACTGAAGGATAATGGGCTACCTTTGCAGCCAATTACAGAGCAAGTCAGACATGGCTTTGGCATTGGAAGCCATGATAGGCGCCAAAGGGGATGAGGTGCCCTTACCAGCCACACACTTACCACCACGGTCTCCCCGGTAGCACTGTCTGTGGTTAACACAGCTGGGGTAGCACTGATCACAGCTGTTGTCAGTGGTGGATGTAAGGTGTTAGGGAGCTGGGCATACTCTGGATGCTTCTTCCGAATGTGCTGTACCATCTTGGTCTGGAAGAGTATGGCAAAACCAAGAATCATTACTAGAGTTAGTTATTTGCCATTTTTCTCAAACTCAAACCCTGCCAAGAGTCCTAAAGTCTTTCCAGATTTGCCTTGAAAGAAAGAAGGTATGGTCCTCCTCCCAAAGCAGCACAGGGTTTATAAGAGAAAAAGAAGAGGTAGAGAAGAAACTCAACACCCATGGGACCCCACACCACCAGGCAAGGGCAGCACACCTCACTCATGGTAACCCCTCAGCCCCCCAGTACCTGCAGCAACCAATCACAAGCTCCCCGCCCCCCACAACCAAGAATGACCCCCTTTTCAAGATCTATCATGTAAGTTCCTACAGAAGTAGGGAGTTCCTAGAAGTAAACCTGTAGAAGAAGTAAACCTGTAGAAGTTCCTACAGAAGTAAACCTGAGCTCATAAAGCAGGAGCATAACTGTTCTAACACGAAACCTTCAGCAGACCGAGGGAAAAGGAAACCAACTGAATGCTCAGGTTATGTATGAGATACACTAACTCTGGGGAAATTCCACATATCCTCTTCCCATACTGGATTTACAGTTCCTATTCTCAGGAAGTAGCTCCTTAGCCATCTGAACTAGGAAAACACCTCTGACAGCCCCCATCAATCCAGCAGAAGCCAACTGCCACCTTCTCTTAGGAGATTCCTTCAATAATGACCTTGATTCAGATGCATTCAAAGCCCTTCCCATACCTTGCTGCTGTACTGTTTGGAGCAGTGAGGGCAGCAGACAGGAGGGGTGGCTATTGTGCCCGTGAGCTGGGTGTGCGTGCTCAGCATGGGGTCTGGCTCTCCCGGGCCAGCTGGACGGAGTTTGCGAATGCTCGGTGGGAGCTCAGCCCCTGGATGGTTCTTCAGAATATGGGCTTTTCGCTTGCTGGCACTTTTGTAAACCTGCAAATTCAAATGCTTTGTCATGAAAGCAGCATACGGTGGTCCCACCTTCTTTAAAGCACACTCTCTAACAATTCCGTTGTTAGGTAGGAGAAATGAGAAAAGGTATTCAGATAGCCCAAAATAAAATATACGAACAGTTATACTGAAGGATATATAAAATAAGAACATAATGTAGATAGGCTAGGCATCTCTCTAGAATTTATACATCTAAGATAGTAATAATAAAAATACCCCTTACCCTGAAATTTAAGAGGTAGATACACAGTGACAGAAAAAGAATTGTTTCAAAGCCCAGATCATCCCACTTAGCCTTTCTACAAAAGCTCTCTTATGTTTACAAGATGCCAAAGAATCTTCCAAAATGGCAAGTCTATAAGTGACTAGTACCTCCAATGGTAAATCTATGCTTTAAAAAGTTTCCCAGGGGCACCTGGGTGGCTCAGTGGGTTAAAGCCTCTGCCTTCGGCTCAGGTCATGATCCCGGGGTCCTGGGATTGAGCCCCACATCGGGCTCTCTGCTCAGCGGGGAACCTGCTTCCCCTTCTCGCTCTCTGCCTGCCTCTGCCTACTTGTGATCTCTGTCTGTCAAATAAATAAATAAAATCTTTAAAAATATATATATATATATATATAAATATAAAATAAATAAATAAATAAAAAGTTTCCCAGTTTTTTTTTTTTTTAGATTTTATTTATTTATTTGAGAGAGAGACAGTGAGAGAGAGCATGAGCAAGGAGAAGGTCAGAGGGAGAAGCAGACTCCCCATGGAGCTGGGAGCCCGATGCGGGACTCGATCCTGAGACTCCAGGATCATGACCTGAGCCGAAGGCAGTCGTCCAACCAACTGAGCCACCAAGGCGTCCCAAGTTTCCCAGTTTTAAGCTAACACAACTACATCGTATAAGGAAACAATATTACGATGAAACAATAGGTGTATATATTTTTTTTTTGTAACTGCACAAAAGTAAGGATGAAATAGTAAAGTCTCCCATTGCAAAACTTGTCCACATCCTACTCAATCTTCTAGAAATCCCAAACCCACTGTATATATTTTACAAGTAGGATGATAAACAATTTTGTTTTAGAGCCTAGGAATTTAAAATGAATTTATATACTAAGCCCTTGGTAAGCCTCTACTTTTAAAACCAAAACCACAGAGAGAAGGAAAAATGTTAAACACAAAGTCAACTAATGCTTAGGAAAAAAATTTTGGCTTAAAATGAGACCGCACTTGTAGCCCTTGCTCATCTGAATGGAAAACTACTGAGAGCCAGGGGACCATCTGTTAAGAGTAACTCTAAGATCCCAGTATATTTATACATTCAGACAAAGGGCTCCCAGAGACGCATCCCCGCGTGGATAGTTTCCTTTTACCTTATCACAATACTGACAAAAGTAGTCGCGGTTGGGCTTTATGATGGGGAGGGTTAGCTCTGGCACCTCCTCGATCTTCATGTCTGGGTGCCTCTTTGATAAGTGATTTACCTAAAGGGGAAAAAAGCAAATGAGAAAAAGAGAACCCATTACAAAGAGAAGCGAACCAAATGCTCTGGTCTTGACTGCTAGAAGATGGAATCCTCTGAAGCCATGCCCCAAAACAATAAGGCATGTGGCCAGATCCAGCATTTCCAGGCAAATCTGACATGAAGCCTTAATAGTCACAGTTAGCAGGAGCTACCAGTCATTCAGCAAATCACTGAAGGGTCACTGTGGATTCCACGATGGGAAAGGGAATAGCACGAACCCAGTGCATACACCCTGCTTTGAAGGGCAGTTTCCTACTACTGCTCTTTTGCATCCGGAAAGGGGAGGCATTAAGGGAGCAACTGGGGAGAAGGACAAATCCCACCAGAAAGGATGTTCAGGAACACAAGAGAGAAGGAAATGAAATAGAAGGGCAGAGACTGAGCAGGGTAAAGCGAAAGAAAACTCGTAATAAGAAGTGATAAAGACTCGTCGCAAGAGGTCAGGAGAAATGAGCTGTGCCACAGGAGGGCAAAGGGAGACTGGGAAGAACTCCAAATTGGGCATCACGTGCTTCTGGCTTTTCCCCTAGCCCCTGACAAAACCTACTGAGAATTTCGCACAGAATACTGCACAGAAGCCATCACCATAAACAGAAGCAGGTGGGTCTGGTAGCCGCTTGGCACTGACCAGCATGCCTCGTCTCCGGAAGCCCATCATACACAAGCGGCACTTGAACGTGAAGCTGTCATAGTCCGTGGACGTGATGCGAGGCTTGAACGTCTTGGAGCGGCTGATGCGGTCAGCCTTCTTGGCCTCCCTCTCAGGGTTGTGCATTCTCTGCATATGTTCCCGTAGCTTGTCTTTCCGCTAGTTAGAGAGAATGTTTGAAAAGGCAGGGGAGGGGGGGAGCGGAGGGCAGAAAATTTTTAATTGAAGGGATTAAAAAAAGCAATACAAGTTACCAGTAAGCACAACCTACCAAGAGGCATCCGAGTTGCTAGGGTGCTGGACAGGGACAAGGACAACAGACAAGGACATGGCAAAACTCTGTCTGCTAGCAAATAAGTGTGCTCCACTGAGCCTTGCCTTTTGGGAAGGAAGAAATTATGTGTATTATGGAGAAGATCAAAGGATAATGGAATAAACTTGGTATTAAGAATTACAAGACAGAGCCACCTAGGTGCTCCAGTCGGTTAAGCGTCTGCCTTAGGCTCAGGTATGGCCCCAAGGCCCTGGGATCAAGCCCCGAATCGGGCTCCCTGCTCAGTGGGAAGCCTGCTTCTCCCTCTGCCTGGGCCTACTGCTCCCTCTGTCAAACAAGATCTTTAAAAAAAAAAAAAAATTTACAAGATACATTGATAACGAATGATAGGTAATACTCTATTTACAAAGCCATGTGTATGTTCAGTTCCCACACATTCTAACAAACATTATGATGCTCTTCCAAATCCCACATAAATTTAAGTATTTCTCATCTTATGGATTTAGAAGTTCATGTAAACAATCACGCTGCCCACTATGGATGGAGGATATGGTCTAGGTCACAGGTCTTAGTCTGATGACCTAATCTAGTGATACATATTTATATGAGTCCATAGAGAGAAAATCAGGCAGAGCCTATCCCAATGGAAAAAAATTCAGAAACATGCCAGCTCCCTTCTTCAGCATTTCTCTCTTCTTTTGGACATGATTAAACTCTTATTGGCCTGATAAAGATTCTGGGCCTTTCCACAGAACAGTTCTCCCCACATTTTGGTATAAGGACTTCTATTTAACCACTGCCTTTTTTCAGCACGTTCATCTAACAAGTATTTCTCGAGTGCCCACCGAGTATTAGGAACCATTCAAAGTTCAGAGTTTAACGCTAGGACCCGTCACTTACCTCCTCCTTCTGCTGCCATGGATAAAACACGACCACTCTCTCCTCCTACCCCACCCACCTCATTCCCGGCAAGCCCATCAGAGAATTTCATCGTCTCCTACTCTGCAGTGAAGTCTGGATTACAAGCCCTGTCCTAAATAACAGTATTTCTGAGTGTCTTTAGATAAAGCTCAACACCTCAGACTTCTGTTATATTTCTACTTTTTCCCCAGCATTGGTCTTCACTAATCTCCTCCCACCCATTCTCTTTAAAGGACCCACTTATTGTAACTGAATCATTACATAAGCCTGAAAGCCTCCTCCTACTACTACACCCAGCTCTGCATACACATTCGCTGAAGGCCATTTCTCACCATTTTCCATCCTAACGGCCCTAAAACCAATCCATTATGCCCCACTCTCTCCTCCTGCCTAAATCCTGCTGCTGGATCAGCAAAGTTCCCAAGGATCTAGCCTCCCAAGCTGCACAGCCCAATTTCTCTCTGTCCACCCATCAGCCTGGCATCCAGACACGAAGTCCTACCAATTCTCCCTCAGATGTTTGTCTTGAATACAGGCCCTTCTCCATGCCCATTGCCTGGGCCTTAGTTCAGCCCAGCTGAAAAATGCCCCTGGAGTGTCTTTACCCCTCTCCCTGTCCTCCTCCATCCCTTTCTCTAGCAGGCTCCCTCTTCCCCACCCTTAAGGGAATTCAAGTGTCACCTATACCCCAAATCAGATTGAATCCTTCTCGTGGCATTTTTTTCCCCTCTATTACAGTAGCAGAAATAATTTTTTTTGAAGTTTAATTTACTGAAGTAATTTCTACACCCAACCTGGGTCTCGAGCTCATGACCCTGAGATCAAGAGTCGAGTGTCCTTGCCACTGAGCCAGCCAGGCCCCCCAGGAGCAGTAACAATTTTTAATGCACATGTCAGATTTCCTCTTTAAAGTGAGAGCACCTGAAAGTCAAGAGGTCCTACCTTTTGGAGCTTGTAGTAGGACAATTACAATTCAGTAGAAGTGCTACAACAGGCTCAGAAGTTAAGGGTTCTATGGGAATACACAGGAAAAGCACTTAATCCGGGGAGGGGGGCATCAAGAAATGCCTCTGTATGAAGTAACATCAGCCAGGCAGAAGGATGAGAGAGTCTGAAAGTGTATTTCAAGCAGTGGGTTGAGAAGGAGAACAGATGCAAAGCCCCCAGGAGAGTCAGACGGCACACCACACTGCAGTAAACCCCGCGGTTCAGCAGAGCGGAGTACAAAGGGGAAGGGAGAACTGCACAGGTAACTGGGAGCCAGGTCCTGTTTTTAACTAGAGTTTGGGTGACACACAATATTTTATCAGTTTCAGGTGTACAACACAGTGAGCTGACAACTCTCTCTATATATTCTATTACAGAAGCCAGATCTTGTGGTGGCTTTTTTTTTTTTTTTTTTTTTAAGTAAGCCTATATGCCCAACGTTGGGTGACCTGAGAGGAAGAGTTGCATGCTCTACTGACTGAAACAGCCAGGTGCCCCTTGGGGTGACTTCTAAGTGATAAGCACTTTGAAATCTATCTAAGAGGCTATTAAAATTAAAGGGTTTTTCTGAAGGCACATGACATCCAATTTGTTCTCTAGAAAAATAACTCATTATAGTCTGAAAAATGAACTGTAGATGGGTTGTGCTTTTATACTGTGTCAACTCGGCTAAGGAGAACTAACTGTATTGACACGGATCCCCTACCTAGCGTGGTTCTCAGTCTTCACGAGGAGACAGGCTCACACCAGACTGGAAGACGGGAAGGAAGCAGTGGCCAGGATGCTCCAGGAGCCAGAGGTGGGTTGCCAGGATGGCCCCGCTCACCCTTGCTGGCTCCTACTGAGCCACCAGCTCTCCTGCTGAGAGCAGGCACCGCGGGCAACTCCATGTCCACCGCCACAGGCAGGAAGATTCCTCTGTGGCCAGCACCGGCTCTCTTTCATGAGCACGCTGAAGGTGCCAGGGTCCCCAGATTCCCAGGGAAGTGCCCACTATCCGCCCGGACCAGGGCTGCAGAAGGGTACATTAGTGACTTCTCTCCGATCCTCCAACTTTTCCTGCCAGATCCTTGCTTCTCTATCTTCTTCTATGATGTTCTTATTCCTATAAGAAACTCCCTTGCTGCATAACTCTAGTGGGTTTGCATTCCTGCTTGAACCCTACCCTAATACATCGGATGAGAGTGAAAGAGAAAGTGAAAGGAGCAAGGTTTTTCACATGCCTGGTGCTAAAATGAGATCAGGCACAAAAGAGAGAATAAAAAAAATATCAAATATCAAATGGTAGGACGGATGGATGAACAATCTGTTAACATCATAAGATAGGGACCCTTTTAGATAGATTGTTGGTGGTGGTTTTTTTTTTTAAAGATTTTTATTTATTCATTTGACAGAGAGAGATCACAAGTAGGCAGAGAGGCAGGCAGAGAGAGAGAAGGCAGGGAAGCAGGCTCCCTGCTGAGCAGAGAGCCCGATGCGGGACTCTATCCCAGGACCCTGAAATCATGACCTGAGCTGAAGGCAGAGGCTTAACCCACTGAGCCATCCAGGCATCCCCTTGGTGGTGTTTTTTAATTAAGAAATGAAAAAGAGGGGCACCTCAGTTGCTCAGTAGGTTAAGCCTCTGCCTTCAGCTCAGGTCATGATCTCAGGGTCCTGGGATGGAGCCCCGCATCAGGCTCTCTGCTCAGTGGGGAGCCTGTTTCCACCTCTCTCTCTCTCTCTCTCTCTCTCTCTGCCTGCCTCTCTGCCTACTTGTGATCTCTGTCTGTCAAATAAATAAATAAAATCTTTTTTAAAAATAAATAATTAATAATAATAATAATAATAAAAGAAATGAAAAAGAACCTAGGCCTATTTAGAGGTCACATTAGAGTTCTCCGCAAAGGCCCAAACTGTGCTACCGTACACTGAATGCCAGCAGGATTATATTCCATGACATATCAAGTTAAAGTTTGAAAATTACTTCCTATATCTCTTTATCATCTCCAAATTCTATACAATGCATCTTTTTAAAATTAGTTTTTCCCTTCTGCATCCATTTCTGATTCTTTTCCAGTTTCTATGAAGCATGATCTACAGTCACACTCACTAGTGTTTCTCTATTCAATGTGAGCCACCTGATTTCCCAATGAAACATACTTTACTATTTTCCTATTTCCTTGTTTAACTCTTATCCCTGAGTCTCCTGTGAGTTTGCCCCTTGCTTCTTCTAAAGTCTAGGCAGGCTACCAATACTTATGATGTCTTCTTTTAATCCTGGAGGCATGACTCTTTCCCAAAGTTGCCCAAGCCGTTCGGCATCCCACAGATCTCCTGCCTTCCTTAGATGACAGTTCTGAGACTTTCAGGGCTCGATCTCCAGGCTCTGATACGTAATAGGTCCCCAATAAAAATCTCTCCATTTGGTAAGTAAATGTATTGTTCTCTTGGGAATTCAAAGCAATGTAATTCCACTTATTATACATTTGGATTCTTTTAAGGAGATGGGTTATCACTCTATTCAGCAATAATATTAATTATTTGGAGATATTAAGGTGAGATTTCCCCTCATTTTATCATAATAACCACGTCAAACGTGAGACATAAAATGCATCCCAAGTTCGGCTCTTTGTAAGGAGGTGATTAACTGATGGAATGAACAGGCACCTATCCTTAGCCCCGCGAAATTTCGGTGACCGTGAGAACGTTAGGCCGTTCACTGCTTCTGTACCTTAAATTGTTTCCCGCACGTGGAACACAGGAAATCTTTGCGGTCCGAATGTCGGAGCATGTGCAGGCGCAGTTTGTCAGGCCGGCAGAACGCCTTGTCGCACTCTGTACACTGGTAGATCTTTTCTGAGTGGAAGCTTCGCACGTGTTTTTTCACCTGGCAGTTGAAGACACGAGTCAGTCAGAGGACCAAGGAAAGGACAAATGGCGGCTTATGAACACTAGAGGGAGCCAAGCGCATTCCCATCGATTTCATCGGCCCTGCGGCATAACCCAATCAGATGGGATTGATAAGTGACCTCAATCACACACAGCAGCCCTGTCACAAAGAAACACAACAAGAAGCCAGAAAGCCTTATAAATCTTAACCTCCATTTAACTTGAAGAAGAGGAACAAAGAGTACTTGCTCAGTTAAAGCCCTGATCACATGAGACCCATTTTTCTTTCTCTCCTTTTTTAAGATTAAAAGCAGAATTCCTCTGGATTAAATAAATCTTGGTAAAAATTATCCACAGAAAGATAAAAAAAAAAATGATTCTTTCTCTTTCCTGCCTCCAACATGTATAAAAGCAATTTAGCCCCTTTCAGTATTTGGTCTCTACATCTTTCCATCAAATCAGGTTCTAAAAGGGATGCGTGGGTGACTCAGTTGCTTAAGCGTCTGCCTTCAGCTCAGGTCATGATCCCAGGGTCCTAGGATAGAGCCCTATATCGTGATCCCTGCTCAGAGGGGAGTCTGCCTTTCCCTCTCCTACTCCCCTCACTTGTGTACTCTTTCAAATAAATAAATAAAATCTTGGAATAAATAAACAAATCAGGTTCTGAAGAATAAAGACATGAATTCGATGATATAAAATACATTACCCTTTTATGAGAACAACACAATACCAGTATCATTTCTCCTTAATCGGGACTTATTCCCCATACTTTTGGATAATTTAAATAAAGGAATATGACCTCTGAATTTCCTTAGCTATAAATACCCAGTGAAGGAGAGCTGTGAACGACATGTAAGTAGTGAGTCGTAGCAAACTATTCCTATAAGACATTTTGCTTCATTGTTTTTTGAGTCTCTTTTGCCATTAGATTCTGCCATAAGCCACTTTTCTAATTGTTGTGGAGTGACAAAATTACCAAGGTTCCCCATACTAGCAGAACTATGAGCTCCTTTTGTCTAGGTAATTTTTTTTTAAAGAGAAAATATTTTTACTAGATATTTATATTTAATTATTCATTGACTAACATAGAACTAGCAGATCATCACTTGACGTTCAAATGAAATCACGAATATTCTGGAATTTATCCTCACCTATTTTGCTCCAGAATATAGTCCAGGGAAGGAGGTCAGTGCTTGATACAAAAGCATATTATATACCAACTCTCTTTGTCTCCTTCCAAAATGCATGACCTTAGTAAAGCAAGACAGGATACCACAGTAGTAGAGAGAAAATGTTTCCAGGCCAAGAAATGGGAGTATGTCTTCTACAGGCTCTCCACATTTTATGAGTAGAGCATACTGGCAAAGATTAAGAAAGACTTTGTAAAAATGATAATCAGATCTGGGTATTTGTTCCTTGTAATACAACTTAAATGTTTCAATGCCAATGTCTGATTTGGACAATTAAGGGTTATGATGATGTGTCACTTATCAAAAGTAGCTTGATTGAAGAAATACCGTTCTTAACCGTAAAGTTGTTTCAAGGACGGGATGAAAATGCAGGCGGTAGGCAGTCTCAATTTTCCAAACATCGAAGTTTCTTTTACCAAAGAAGAAAAGCGTACGGGAGTCTCAGGAATAGACACTCACCTGGATAAAATCTGGGAATCGTTTCTTACAAGTTGGGCAAGTGAAGCAGCCATCATTGATATGAATGGCCACATGATCCTTCAACAGATCAAGGCGGTCAAAGGATTCTGGGCAAAAAATGCAAGAATAAGTCTTCTGGTCCGAATGGAGCTTCATGTGGCTCTCCAAGGACGCACTGCTGATGAAGCCCTTGTTACAGAGATCACACGTCAGCGGGCAGTTCCCCTCCCGCCCGTGGAAACGCAAATGTTGGTCCAGTTTGTCCTTTTCCCGGAAGGCCTTCCCACATTGCAAACACTTAAAAGGCCGGAAGGACTTTCGAATAAACAGATGCTGAAGAGCTGCGTTCTGAAAGACACACACAAACGGGATCATTCAGCGAGGAGTCAAGCGGGCAAGCAGCTCGCACACCTACAGAGAAAGAGGATCGCCTCTGCAGTCAGACTTTTCATAGACGTTAAACTCCAGGACACACAGTAGAAAGATTTTTCTGGTGAAGACATGAAAACTAAACCCATGCCCAGAGAAGATCCCCCTGAAAAGCAAACCTTTTTTATGTCTTACGATATTTATGGATGTATGGGTTTGTTTGGGTTCTTTTTTTTTTTTTTTTTTTTTAAGAATTTAAGTCAGTCACAGCCAAAATAGCATTCCCAATAAAAGATCTGTATGATAAAACAAATTCCGGAGTTGAGCAGAGCAACAATTGGAGATTTAGAAGAAGTGACGTGGGATGAGTCACACATGCATGAATGAGGTTGGAGCAAGTCAGCCAACTGTGACTTGCTGAAGTTCTTGAGAAAAGGAATTCAAAGCTTGATTAAAATGTTTAGGAAAAAAAAAGATATAAAAAAACGGAAGAGTAGTACTTGCCAGGGGCTGGGGAAGGAGGTAATGGATACAAGGTTTCTTTGAGAATGATGAAAATGTTCTGGAATTCTAGTGGTGATGGTTACACAACTGAGAATATTCTAAACACTGCTTGTAAAAGGGTGAATTTTAGGGTCCGTGAATTATATCTCAATTTAAGAAAGAGAACTTGAAAGAGAAATGAAGGATACAGATTTATATGAACATGTTCATTCATGAGGTAAGATATATGAGCACACATTATAAATGGAATGTGTATATTTGACCACTTCCTACTTAGAAAATGCAGAAGACAAGTTCTCTGTGTAGCTAGTTAGTTCCACTGGTTAAAAGGCCATGATAACAAAGTTAAGACTATCTTTTTGTTCCCTGTCTAGACTACTCAATTTTCCTTTTTTTTTGCAGTCACAGATTGTGCTTCTAATGCTGATTAGCCATCTTATTGTAAATTCATGCTCTTGTTATAGGGAATCCAAGTGAGAAAATACGGATATTCAGTGCAAATTCATCACTACCACTGGAAAAACAACTTGTGCTCTACTGAGAGCAGATCAACAGAATCATCTTTCACACAGGGAATACAGAATCAATATTTTAGCTATACTATAATGAAGACTCACTCATAGGTTCCTCAAAAGACCAGAGGGAAAGCTCTAAAGAGCTCTGGGGAGGAGGGAAATTCCCTCAAAAAAAAAAAAAAATGTATCTGTGAATGGGTATGCTTACATAACCAAGGAAATAGTAACTGAAGCATTAATGGAGACCTTGATACGTTATTGGTGCAATGAAAAAAATACAATGAACCATGCTTAACCCCCAACAAGAAGCAGCTTCTAAACTAAATTCAGTGGGAAATAATCATTCAGAAAAAAGCAGAATAACCTTTTTTTCTATAGTGAAAATTCTGAACACAGTTACTATATGACAGAAAACTTCCTCCTCTGGGTTCTCCCTCAGGGCCAGGAGAGAGATTTTACCTACTCGTTTATCTTGAGGTGATACTTAGAAATTCTGTTGTGTTCCCCAGTGGACGGAGACTGCTTCAGGACTGCATTATATCATATCCTCCTTTGTATCTAGATCCCTTCACATATAGCTTAGCTCATAGGAAGTGTTCAATAAAAACTCCAGAATTAATGAAATGCATTTCATATGAGAAACAGAAAGAATTCTTTCAAGATCCTTCTACAGCACCTACAGAGATCTGCAGGTGCAGACCATCCTCATGTCAGCCACAGAGTCTGCTTGTGCTTTATCATCCTGTTCGACAGGTACCCAATCTTTTTACTCTATCTGAACAAATATTTATTGCACAGAAGAGCTCTCACTATTCGGGCGACTTTGAAAACTTAATGGAAATATTGCAAACAAACAAATACTATCCCGAGATTCAGACATGCAAGATATAGAGTGCTTTCAGCATGTAAGAATCATTTCCTTTATCCAAGTTTGATATGGTTTCCAAGGGCAGACACAATGTACAATTGCTCTTGGTTCCATTGCGGATTCCACTCCTCTTGGGGTGCCAAATCTAGAACCCGGTTTTGTTTTGGACTATTATGCTAATAAGTCTTCTGTCATTTCTGATTAGTTTGAATATCCTCAGACACTTGATCGCTGAGCAGCCACTGGACTCCTTGGTCTTAGTTCTGTCCACAGACCTTGTTCTTTTTTTTTTTTTTTTTTTTTTTTTTTTTTAAAGATTTTATTTTTTTTTTTGTCAGAGAGAGAGAGGGAGAGAACGAACACAGGCAGACAGAGTGGCAGGCAGAGGCAGAGGGAGAAGCAGGCTCCCCACAGAACAAGGAGCCCGATGCGGGACTCGATCCCAGGACGCTGGGATCATGACCTGAGCCGAAGGCAGCGGCTTAACCCACTGAGCCACCCAGGCGTCCCCACAGACCTTGTTCTTGTTGTCCTTTTAATTCCCATGGAGCCCTGAAGATCATATTCCTCTGATCCTCATGTAATCTACACAGTACAAGGCAGTGAAAGTGCTGAAACTGTCCCCACCCCTTGACCCACTTGCAGGCCATTTCTACTCTAATTCTACATTCCAGTGTAGCTCAGAGCTCTGCTGGCACACATTGCTAGAAGAAACCATGAGAAGTGGCAGAAAAAGCACAGATGGATCCATTACGGATATTCTGACCCCTGAGTTGCCATCAGCCAGGCACACGACACTATACGGTCCAGAAGATACTCTGGGTGCCAAAATGCTATGATTGCTGCCATCTGCAATGGGGGTTCAACTCACATTGAAGTGAATTCTAAGACAACAGATTCTTTGTAGACAAAGACCTATAATGTTTCTGAAGTTTGATATTAATAGCTAAAGGAAATTCATTCTTGATCACTTTACATATTATTTTGATCTTGATACCAGAAAGAAATCAATCCTGTTTGTTTTTTGGCTCTTGTTTGTTTATTTTAACACTCCTCTGCCTATTTCTACCAGACTTTCAAAGCCTTTGGTGGGCTAGCCCTACCAATGTACCTCACCCTCCACCGTCCTTCAACTGGCACCCCACACTAGGGTCAAGCTACAATGTGCAGTGTCACAAAACCATTCCAAGCACATGCCTATGTGTTGGCCTTTGATCCTATGACCAAGAGCCCTAGAAACAGCCCACTTCTTCCTGTCTCTCTCCCAGAACTTTTAAGGCTCGCTTCCTCCACAAACTACTCCCTGACCCCTTCTCATCTTTCTTTGGCCTTTCTCACTTCCCAGTTCCTATAGCAATTACAGGCTACACTTTCAAATTTAGCCCTTGACTCTAAGATCCATTACATGAGCACTCTCTCCCTAATTAGATGGTAAGCTCCTCGCGGATAGGACTCATGGGAAGATTGCATGGTGTCCCTAGCCAGGGCTGAGTATGCAGTCAGATCTCACTACCATTCCCTAAGTCATCCAAATTGTTGTAGAACTGGACGGGATCCTGGAGATCACTTAGTCCTACCCTTCATCTGGGGTAGGAGGAATCTGCCACCCACAATGTATTCATCGGTCTACCTGAAAATAAATGGTTATTCATCGACTGATTTGCAATTACGGTAGATTCCACCAGGTTTTAGCAAGTACAGGTTGCAAAGAACAGCAGGTCAGCAAACACGTCAATAACGTTCTGTTACGTGGAACACAGGAAACGAACCTACCTGCAGCTCCAACTGAGCAGGCAGCATTAGAGGAGAGAAAAATAGTTACATTACCAATGGGATTGGAAGACTTCCCTTCAGTTGGTCATTACCAATCTGGAGAGAAAAGATGAAAAAATACATAGCCCTAATTTTTAGAAGGTGTGAGAGAAAGAAACACAAGAGCTCAACTAAGACTGACCTCCAAAAGCCAAGTGCACGTGGCTTTTGCTTTGACGCAAGGAACCTCGTACCCAAACCAGCCACCCAATGCACTGAAGGATACAAACACAGTTAGAGGTACACTAGGCTCATACAACCACGACTTCACTACATGTGTGGGCTTTCATTTTGGGTTGTTTTTATGGGGGTTTTTTTCCTGTAAAAAAATTAAATCTTGTAAGCATTTCTCTGGACTTGGTGAAAAATCAGAATGGCCAAAGCAGAAAAGACAGTCATGGAGCAAGAGTAAAATGCAGATTGGGAAATAATGTAGAATGATGGATTAAGAAGGTATTAATTCATACCTTTTTGCCTTTCTGGTCTATATTTACATATGTTTCCACAGCCTTTGGAAAGAATATACATGGAGCCAAAAGAATTATATGTTTCCATCACAGGACCCTAATAAAGACTACTTAGCCTCAGAGCGCTGACAACCTTTCAATGTTATTATATTGCTATAAATGTTTAAATGTATTTTTACAGGAAGGCATGGACTAGACTATTTTTCAAGGTCTCTTCCAGTCTACAGGCAAGTAAGAAGACCAAGAGAAATATAAGCTACATGTAGGCAAGTGAGAAGACCAAAAGAAACATGAGCAAAAACAACCACGTCTCTCAAAACTGTAAGGCCTAGAAAGTTATACAAAAGAAACTCTTTCTAGCCACACATAAAGTACAATAAAAGTATATACCTCTGCCATAGACAGTGGTATAAGTCATCGTTTTCTGGATGTAAACTGGTCAGCACATGCGCTTATCCCACAAAACTCTATTGTTCTCCACATGCCTCTCCTCAAGGAACTAACTCAGACTCCAGTGCTATCTGTGAGGTAAGAGTAACACACATCTGACCTGGAGGCCATGGAGGCTGGGTGGACGCATGGTCTACAGTTGAGACACAGGCCACAGAAGTGTAACAATGACCAACTCCCGAACCTGGTACTTAACGTCAGGCTGTCCCAGGTGTATAAACTCTACCTGACACAGCAATGTGGACATGGGTCCCTTTGCGATGATGAGTAATGACACTTGCCAGTCTTCCTTTGGAAACTGTAGACAACCAAATTCATGTACCCGAAATTAATCTGAGAGCTATCATTAGGCACGGAGTAGAGTGGCTTCAGTGTAAATAATTATTATAATTAAACCTACTTATTTCCCCATTTCCCATCTGTGAGGTTAGGGAAGAGAGCTATCCTACTCGAACTATACTAATCCAGAAGCTGCCAAAAGCCAAGCTTCTGTGTCATCACTAAATTGATGGAATCTAGGACCAGCCATTCCAGGCTGTCACAGGACACAAAGACACTGAGAAGTAGTTAATACATTCTTCCTAGATAAGGGGATCCAGTGTGTGGTAGGCTAGATGCAAGATTTCAGAGTGGATGGTGAGTGAGTTGGGAAAACATGGCACCTAGAAAGCCAGTCGACTGGAGAAAGGGCAGCACCTCGTGAAGGAGGAGCTCTGCTTCCCACTTACTCGGATACGCTTGGCTCTGCGCATGTCATCGGCCGTCAGAGTGCTCTGGGTGGGTAGCACGCTCTCCTCGTGCTGGGGCTGCAGGTGTAGGCTATGAGTTTCTGGCTCGTGCTCCAGAGAAGGCTGGGTTTCCTGTGGCAGCTGAGGGATGGGGAGGGTGGTCTGTTCCGGTTGATCTAGCCCATTCAGAGTAGCTGGCTCAGCCTCATCGAACTGTTCCTTGGTGGAAAAATGTAGCAAGTCCTGAAATTGCAATAACCGGGAATTATTTCCCCAGCTAGATAGAGACCCACGCTAGAGTGCCAGCTAGGATTTAGAACTGCTGCCTATTTTTTAAATCTCTAGAGTCCTAATGCTCAGAAAAAAATAGTCTCCCTCTGGGAAAACTATCCAAGATTAGGTAACTATCCACAGGATGTAAAACTAAGAGATATTCCAGACCACTTCATGAGGAAAAGACTCTGACAGGAGAACTCAGCTGGAATAAGACCATTTTAACTACTGAAACTAATTAAACAGCATCCCCAACAATATCTGGACAATTTCAACTCCTTTTTTTAGTGGCAGGGGTGGGGTGGTGAAGAGAGAGGGAGAGGGAGGGACAGAATCTTAAGCAGGCTCCATGCCCAGCACAGAACCCAAGATGGGGCTCGATCTCACGACCCTGAGATCATGACTTGATCCGAGATCGTGACCTGAGCAAAATCAAGAGTCAGACACTTAACTGACTGAGCCACCCAAGCGCCCCCAATTTCAAATCTTGATGGCAGCAAAGCTGGATTTTTGTTGTAACATTCAAGAATATGTTCTGGGTTTTTTGAGAATGCATTCTTCTCGCCTTCTCCCAGTCATCCTCTAATTAACAAGCCACCAAGCTCTGACATGGCAGGACCATCAGCCTCCAGGAGGTATCTGTACTGAAGCCTGGTAATCGTTCCAAATCCCCAGAGCAGGCGTCTAACTCAGAGTTCTTTCTCCCCCAGTACCTGTGTCCCGTCGTCACACTTGTCCCCATTTTCACTGGTTATTTCCAAACGGATAAATTTTGGAGGGCGTCCTGGTCGTCGACCAGGGCCAAATCGCCTCTTGCCTCGTCCTCTTCCTCTGCCTCTTGTTCTGGGGACAGAAGATTAGGTTATAAACAATCATGGTTACACAGTACTCCCTAACAAGTATTTTCCCTCGACGGTGCTGATGAGCCCCAAATCTTGATTTCCTCTCATTTTATTACTTTTCCTGATTCTTTTTTTCTACTGGCAACAATCATTTTGATAATATGCACTTTCTTTTTTTTTTTTTTAAGATTTTAAAATTTATTTTAGAGGGCATGCTCATGCCGGTGCATGAGCGGGGGAGGGTCAGAGACAGGGACAAGCAGACACCAGGCGCTGAGTGCAGGGTCCAACGCAGGGCTCAATTCTACCGCCCGAAATCAAGAGTAGACTGCTTAACTGACTGAGCCACCCAGGCGCCCTGGTAATATACACTTTCTAAATATCTCATCCCTGCCATCTATATAGCCCAGAGATATCTTAAATTATTCAGAAAAAAGGAGCTACTGAAAACTCAGAGCACTGACAACCATTTTGTTACTGAAAATTCAGAAAGCACAAACATATCTCTGAAATGATGTGAGAAATGCAGACAGGACAGAACACGCTAAGCCTTACAGTGCGTTCCTAGAGACAAGATTCCGTTCTTTCCCTCCTTCCCCCGTGCTTCACTTCCTATTCCTTCCAAGACCTGTGGCTAGATTCAAAAGAACTTTCTTGTTTTGCTATAAGCTTCTGGCAGGTCAAAACGAATTTCTAGCTCAACTGTGCGATAACATGCCTTGTGAACACCAAGTAAATTTTACCTTCTTTAATAAATTTCTAGCATATAAAAATTCCTCAATAAAGGAATTCAGGAAGTGTGCCCCCAAAATCTCTTTTAGAAGATGAATGAGTGAGAGGATTAAGAGTACACTTACTTGATAAACCTGAGTATTGTATGGAACTGCTGAACCTGAAACTAACCTAACACTGTATGTTAACGATACTGGAAAGGAAAGGGAAGAAAAGGGGAGGGGAGGGAAGGGAAGGGAGGGGAAAAGAAAAAAGATGTGTGTGAGAGGTATGTGTAAAATTGACCAGATCATGTTTTATTTCTCCACTTATCTATTTAGCAATTTAACAAAAATTATATGTTGTTCCAGAATTTTTAAAAGACTATTTATTATAGAAAATTCTGAACCTAGATAAATGTAGAACCCAATGTACACAATGAACCCTATGTGCCCATTACCTGATTTCAATACTTAGCTACTCATGGCTAATTTTATTCCACTGTACCCCACCCCCCCGTCTATTTCCCCCACACACTTACCCATTAGATTATTCTGAACTAAGTTCCAGACATCATTTCAACTGCAAATATTTCCACAAATATGTCTCTACAATACAAGGACTCTTTTTTCTATATTCCATATAGATAGGTAGGTAGATAGATAGATAGATAGATAGACAGATATACACATGTATATTCCATAATACCATCATCACACCTTAAAAATCTGATAGTTGTGGGGCGCCTGGGTGGCTCAGTGGGTTAAGCCTCTGCCTTTGGCTCAGGTCATGATCTCAGGGTCCTAGGATAAAGCCCCGCATCGGGCTCTCTGCTCAGCAGGGAGCCTGTTTCCCCCTTTCTCTCTGCCTGCCTCTCTGCCTACTTGTGATCTCTCTCTCTCTCTGTCAAGTACATAAAATCTTTTTTAAAAAATCTGATAGTTGCTCAGTATTATTAAATCTAGTCAAAGTTCAAATTTTCCTAATAGTCTCCAATTTCTTTTTAATAGGCAGCCAACAAATGTCTTTATATACCATGTGTCACACCCCATACTAGGCAATAAAGACAAGTTATATGTGACAGTTTTTGCCCTCAGAAGCCTAATAGAGACAGCAGGCACACAAACCAAAAAATCATAATATAAAAAGTGCTATAACAGAGCCATGAACAGAGTTCTAGAGACACCTGACAGGGAGTGATTTCACTCTCACTATGCCCTCCACCCACCTCAGATATTTACTCCTATGGCTCCCATGGTCATACCGGGTTACCCTCCGTAAGCATAGAGCCCTGCCCCCTTACCTCAGTTCCATGCATTGCCCACTCGAATGTTATCTCTTGCTTTCCAGCTCAGACCCTCAAATCCCTGGACTCAACAATCCTTGCATCTCACCACCACCTCCAGTGTAGTCCTTCTGTCACCTGTTTGCAGTCCTACAACCTCTTGATGTTTTCTCTCCCTTCTTCCACACATAAACTCCGAAGTCATTCACTGCAACTGCTATAACCGCTCCCTCTCAATTGCCATCCCTACTGCTGCTCCATCACTCCTGCTATGTTGGCAAAGCCACCACACTGTGCCGTCCCATTCCCTGGCTGCTCAGCACTGGCATCAATGCACCAAATGATACTGGACAATGACAAAGAGCCATGCTAGTGGTCTCACTTTAGCGTCATGACCATGAGCCTCAAAAGAGCTCTTATCGGGGCGCCTGGGTGGCTCAGTGGGTTAAAGCCTCTGCCTTCGGCTCAGGTCATGATCTCAGGGTCCTGGGATCGAGCCCCGCATCAGGCTCTCTGCTCAGCGGGAAGCCTGCTTCCTCCTCTCTCTGCCTGCCTCTCTGCCTACTTGTGATCTCTCTCTGTCAAATAAATAAATAAAATCTTTAAAAAAAAAAAAAAAAGAGCTCTTATCAGTATGATCGGAGGAAGTCATACGTCCTTCCCTAGAACATGGATTTTCCCACTTTCCTAAACACCGTGTCATTCCATCTCCTCTCTTTTCAAATCCTGTAAAAGACGGCAACACTAATGGTGTCCCATTGGTGCCACTGCATTCCAAAATACTCTCATTCTTCACCCAAACTATTAAAATAGCTTCCAACTGGACTCCCTGTCTTCACTCTTGATCCAAAGAAAACACAAGTGACATTTTAATTTTCATCCAGCATGACATTTTGACATATAAATTCACATCACAGATACTCCCTGATCAGAACTTTAAAGACTTATCATACTTAGAATAAAATCCAAATTTCTTACCATGACCCATAAGGCCTACCTGATCTAGCCCCTGCCTACTCCAACTTACAGGATTCTCACTTATCTATTTTTATCGTACTATGGAATGAAACCTATGATTTAGTTTGATGAAGGAATCCTACTTCTGAAAGAAGTTTGCACATCAGAGATGCAGACTGTGTGCTATCTCAAGAATTCCCATCCCAGAATCTCTTAGAGGAGGCAACTAAGGGGGAAAGATCATATACTGCTGGGTACTCTGATTATGCTAGAAAAGAAACCAACAGTAGATGAGGATGGGGGCAGGCAAAGGGAAATGACAAACAAGAACTTTCCCTCTGCAGCCCACCTGATTACCTGTCTACACACAGAAACACCCAGAAACAAACACTCATTAGTTGACCGACAATATGGAAATGAATCTGGACCTTTAATACCCAAGTTTGCAAAACGTTCTGATACCTGCTAAACACATCCAGTTTTTCATCATGGGAATTGAGATGCTGTTGCAACTGCTCCGAGCTTATAAATCGGCGGTTACATTCGTAGCAGGGCCAGTTCTTCTCTTGCTCACGAAGAACTGCAGTCACAGGAGAGAAATCATAATGGCTGATGACCAAGAGACAGCAATAGACCTCAAATGCCCAGGTCCCCACCATCGTCATCTCATGTAGCCCAGTGCTCATAAACACAGTGTCTGCTATCTGCATTACTCTTTTGTTAGGAAAATCAAAGGCTAGACTTTGACAAGAGTAGCTTCCAGGATCTTATTTTCTTCTATATTCATGTAAGACATCAAAGAACTGAACTCTGTCATACTACCGTTTCCCATCTCTCCAACACACATACCCACACAGCCTCACCACACTGGAAAAACAGAAAGCGCTACCATGGAAATCTGCATCCAGATGACTTAGGGATTCTGAACCAGGGTTCATAAGCTGAAGGCCTCTTTTATCACAAAAAGACTTAAAAGCCAATGCCCAATATAATTACTTTAACGAAATGTTAAAGTAGCTACTAAAGTTGATTATTGGCACACCCAATCCTAGCAATGCCACTCCTGAATGTGCACCAACAGAAGTACGCACATAGGTCCACTAAAAGAAAAACCTATGTCAGAATGTTCACAGTGGCACTCTTCAAAATAGTCCCAAACTAGAAACAACCCTGTTGTATAAAAAATAATTCAGCTGGCCTTTGTCCCTGGTTCCTGGCAAACAACCTCTGAGTCTTTGGAATAGCTCATGTAACAGGAGTGCTGTTGTCAATCATGGTAGTCTTTGACCATATGTGAGATTCTCCTAAAATGACTCAAGATGGGGGGCTCCTTGTGCCAGAAAGTCAAACCGTCTGATTACAGGGTTGGAGCCTGGAGCCTTGAGCCAGGGAGCAAGATCTGGAGGGCAAGTTCAATCATGCAGCCAACAGTTCTATCAACCATGCCTATTTCATGACAAATCAATAAAAACTCTGGACACTGCAGCTCAGGTGAGCCTCCTGGGTTGGTAACCATACATCAGTGTGCCACAGAGGTGACATGGGACACAGAAGCTTCCTATTTGGGGCCCACACAAACCTTGCCCTAAGCACTTCTTCATCTGGCTAGTCCTGATATGTGTCCTTTATAATAAAACTGTAATCATAAGCATAGCACTTTTCGGAGTTCTGTGAGTCATTCTAGAAAATTATCAAGCCTCAGGAAAATTATCAAGCTCCCTAAACTGTAGTTAGTTGGTCAGAAATGCAGGTGGTATGGGAACGCTAGAGCTTGCGGCTGGTATCTGAATGAAGAAAGTCTTGTGAAAGACTTGGCCCTTAACCTGCGCAAAGTGACCTAATCCAGGTAAGTGTCAGAATTGCACTGTACAACCCAGATTTTCACCTACAGCGAAACAGATGCATTAATTATGGTCTAGCCATACTCTAGACTACCAAAATAGCAATGAGGATGAACACTTTACAATAACACACAATATGGATAAATCTCACAAACATGTCGAGCCAAAGATTCCCAGAACATACATAATTCTAGTTATATGAAGTCTGATATGAGCATACCATATCCATGGTATTAGAAGTCAGGATGTTAGTTACACCCAAGAGTGAAGAAGGCACGAGGGACTTCCAGAGCACTGGCCACATTCTGTTTCTTCATCCGGTACAGGTTATACAGGTGTGTTCCCTTTGTGAAAATTTATCTGACTGTATGCTTACGATATGTGCACTTTTCTGTACATAAATTATACTTCAGTAACATTTACATTAAAAACAAAGTCAATGCCTGCCTTGTGAATGTCCTCAGAGATGATTAAATCTAGATAGAGATCGTCCTCAGGTCTAGATTCTAATTTAGTATTTGGAGGTTTTCATTACATTAAATACTACTTTCCAGCCACCCAGGAACAAAATGTAAATATGTCACTGTCATTTGATCCCCAAATCAGACAGGGATGTGTAGCTGAAAAACAAAACAAAACAAAACAAAACAAAACCCTACTGGAATATCTTTTAAATGTATTGAGATAGGAAAACTGGAGGTTGCATACTGATATAATATATACAATTTAGAATTCATATCAAAAGTGGAAAATAGAAAAAAAGTCCAACCACCTTTCCTTTCTTCCTCAGAAATGTCGTGAATTTTCTGGTTCACAAACTCAGCATAGGATGCAGCATACCACACCTGCAAGAACCAAGTACATCATGAAGACCTAGAGGGCACCAGCACACGTTCCTCGGGTGCTTACAGTCTTTCTCCCGCTTACACAAAACAATTCAGGCTTTCCCACAACCCACGAAAAACAAACAACAACAACAAAATCGCACTGTGAGCCGATCTCTTTAACACCAGATGGTCGGTCAGGAAGTGTGTTTGCCAAGACACACTCACTGTGTGTTTTCTTTCTCCTTTTTAAAAAAATTGTTTTTGTTTAAAAAAAAATGTTTTTGTTATTAGAACAACTTCACAAGAGATAATACTAATAGTCTCTTCATCAAAGGAAAACATAGCTTCTTCTGGTTGTTTTATCTGTATGTAAACACGGGTTTTTACACAGTTGGAATCGTCATGGCTTCCACACAACGGCTGTCGCTGGGATCCCTGAGGATGATTTCAAATGCGACAGTGCCCTCCTGAGTCTCTTCCTCCCTCCTACCCCACTGGCTACTTCTGCTCGGTCTCATCTGGCTATTCTTCCTCTCCCTCTTCCTGTCTAAGTTTCCTCAAAGCTTATTCCAAGTCCAGGGCCTTCTTATTTTTCCCTAAAGTGATCTATTTCCAACCAATTCTAAATGAGTATCTCCATCCCAGGCTTTCCCTTTCTGTTCCCTCTACATACCTTCTACTGCCTACCTGGTATTTTGTGTGTTTTACAAACACTTCAAGCTTTACATGTCCAGAACTGGATTCTAGATGCTTCCATATTGCACCCCCACCCCTGCCCACCTTCCTCATCTCAGTAAATACCCTGCCTTTCCCCCAGCTGCTCAAACTTGACAACTACAAGTTATCTCAGATTTCTCAGTGTTCTTCTACCGTCCTTCAGCAAGAGGTGCTCAGATGTTCTTCATCTCTGCTTCTCCCACCAAGATCCATGCCAAGACGAGCTCTTGCCTGGTTGGTTTTCTAGGGAGATTCCCCTTTTCCACTCTTGCTCCCTCCAATCCATTCTTCACAGGATCGGAGAGGACTTCTTAAAACATGATCAGATTTCATCATTCTCCTGCTTAAACAGCTTCTCACTCATTAAAAAAAAAAAAAACCTGCAATGCTCAATGATGGGCTCCAAAGGGCTCCACGATCTATCCTAGCTCTTATCCCTCTCCTTCACTACCTTTCAACAAGAGGGCCTGCTTGCAGTTCGTCAAATAGGCGAAGGGCTTTCCCACCCCAACCTTTGTCCTTGCTGTTCCACCATCAGGACTGTTGGATTCTTCCCCTTTGCCTCCTTTAACCCTTCTACAGTGCTGTTCCATAGTCCCCAGCCTCATTACCGTCTCCTCGGCAAGGCCTTCCTTCCCCAGCATTTGTAAACTAGTCCCTTTCCTGCTACCTGCTCTTTTTGTACCATCTGCTTCCTTCAGAGCACTTAACCACTATTTGATATTACATTTGACCCTTGAACAACAGGGGTTTGAACGGCATGGGTCCACTTATACGCAGATTTTTTTTAGCACAGTACCATAAATGCACTTTCTCTTCCTTATGATTGTCTTAATAACATGTTCTTTATTCTGGCTTACTTTACTGTAAGAATACGGTATATAATGCATACAGCATACGAAATATGTGTTAAGCAACTATTATGTTACTGGTAAGGCTTTCAATTAATGGTGGCTATTAACAGTTACATTTTGAAGAGTCAATAGTCACGTGTAGATTTTCAACTGCCCAAGGGGTCAGAGCCCCCAATCTGTTTTATTCAAGCAACTGTATTTGTTCACTTACAACCTTCTGCCCACCTCCCCTCTAGAATACGAGTCCCTGAACACAGACACCAGTCTATCTTTTCCAAGTGTCTGAAACACAGTAGGAGTTCAATATATTAATCACTAAATGAATTAATCATGTATAACTATTATGGAACACTATTTTAACAATGAGGAAATATTTATATGGAGAGTCCATTTTTCAGTGTGGAATAATATTCTATGACAGAGTCTATGTTCTAATTTACTTGACTGTGACCTATAGCTGAATTTTGAGATAGTTTATCAGTTTGCTCTTATAAATTCTACCCTAGTCCATCAATTCCAAAATGTATATTTTTAATATCTTAACACCTCAAAAACCATCTCCATGCCATTCTGCAATCTCTGTGATATGGCTTTCTTTCACTCATTGATTATTGCTCCTGCACATACCTGGCCAAGCTCTTTGCATTGTTCTCATCTCATGCAGTTAGGTGCCCCTCTGGCACTCCATGACTTGTTAACGCTTGACAAGCAGTGCAAAAGAAGATTTTTTTTAAAAAAGCCATCTCCCTCAGAATAAATAAAACAAATGTCAAAGCAATACAAGCTGGTACGATCACCTTGCAAGTCCTCTGTTAATACATCAAACATCAAATTGTCGGGAACCTTCCTACTGACTTTATCGAAAGTCACTGAACTTCCAAAGACATGTGTTTTAATTGAGGAAAAAGACATATATGGGTTCAGTGGGAAAAACACAGGGTCAAAACATGCACAGAAACGCCATCAGTCATCTGGAAAAATATCCCAAAGGCAACAGTGGTTCACTTATTTTAAAAATACTACAGCAACATCAATACCTTGATGGCACAGAAGACAACAGATATACAAAATACAAACATCCGTGACAAAGTAAAAGTGATTTAGTTTAAAAAAAAAAAAGTTAGACTGTACGCAAGGCAGTTTATATGTTAACCAATTTATTTTGCTTGTATGTGCCTTTTTAAATATGCAGAAATGTGATACAGTTTCAAAATTATCTCTAAATAAGTCTAACACAGCTCCTGGAGTAAGTAGAAAATTACTCATTTTGGTGATAAAAATAAGCACTATAACCTAGCTTAAATAGCAGCATATTTTCTCTTAATGACGTATAAAATAATGGTTCATCTTAAAGTTACTGGTGTTTGGATCAGTGAAACACAGCATTACAAAATTAGAATGTATCCAGCTCTATCTTTGTTTATAATTATTTCCTCAGACTAATTTTCAAGGATTAGGTTTATTCAGCCAAGAACATTTTTACTATATACTGCCAGAAATATTCTACAAAATATTGCAGTTCTGTGATAAATGTCCCTATTTTTTAAACCCTCACATTCACTGCACCATATCCATTTATTTTTGTTAACTTAAATTAACAAAAAATAGTAACTCATAGTTGCTTGAAGGGTTTTAAAATTATTAATATTAAAACAATTTTAACCTTTCTTTACTAGTGATTTCTCCTCCAAATAAAGCCTATTCCCAATATTCATGTGTCCATATGGATACCAGAGAGGTTAGAGGTGTCTTTTCTCAGTTTTCATTCTTTCTTTTTAAAGATATTATTATAAATATCAAATACTTACTTATTTGAGGGAGGGAGGGGCAGAGGAAGAGAGAGAATCTCAAGAAGACTCCCCACCGAGTGCGGAGCCCGACATGGGGCTCGATTCCATGACCCCTAGATCACAGCCTGAGCCAAAGTCAGATACCCAACCCAACCATCTCAGATTTTATTCTTTTCTTTTCTTTTTTTTTTTTAAGATTTTAGTTATTTATTTGAGAGAGAGAGAGCAAGCAAGCAAGAGTAAGGGCAGACTCTATGCTGAACGTGGAGCCTGACACGAGACTTGATCTCAGGACCCAGAGATCATGTCCTGAGCTGACATCAAGAGTTGGAGGCTCAACTGACTGAGTCACCCAGGTGCCCCTTAGTTTTTATTTTTAAACCTTTTAATGTGTATTACAAAGATTTATCCCACTCTGTTGCTTCCTTTTCATGTAGGGTTTTGGTTGTTCATTACACTCAACTGTTACATTCTTCTTTAATTGTTTCTGCCTGTCTTTACCTCTACAGTTTTAAGAGGGAAAATAATCTTCCCTCCAGAGTCAAGAAGTATTCACTTCGGTATCAAGAATTTATTGGGACAGATGATGTGAGGTGTGAATCTCCTTTTACAAAGACACAGGTTTCGTGTAGCTTTTGAACAAAGTCTAGGTCTTTGTTCACTCCCAAAGAGGTATCTATCGCCACTTTCACCACATCGCAGCATTGTGCAATTCAGTGTTCATGTACTGATAAAATCATTTCTTGCCTCTTTTTCAACTATATCAGGAATTTTCCATTAGAATCACAACAGGATTTTCATTATGTCATCAAAAGTTAACATTTAGACAAATTTCTACAGAGTTATCCACAAAGAATATATTCCTGAAATCAGAAGTTAGTTCATCGAATTCCTGGGGTAAAATGAAGCATGTAGGTAAAGAAATCTAGCTGGTACCTCTAAATTCCATGTTATAAGATCTCCTGTTTCCAACTAATTCTTCTTCAGAGTATGTAAATAACATTAAGTGACCCCAACTTTAATCCCAAACTCCATCATAAATACCAGTCTGCTCCCCAAACACAACTACTTCTTTACTTCTGGGCTGAATGCCTTCATGTAGGCCTTTGACAGACCCAAAAGTTATGTACTTTTCATTGCTTTTTTATGGTATTATTGTAAATGTACTGTACATGTACTGTACTGTACTGTACAGTATGTACTGTAAATGTACAGGTACTCAACAAGTAAGTGAATTAGAAGGAAAGGACCATTTTTGTAAGAATCTCCCTTCAGAGAAAAAAAAAGAAGAGGAAAAGCATTAAATGGTGACTATTCCTAACAAAGGTACCACTGACCCAGCACTGTACCTTCAGCTCTTGTTTGGGCTCTACGTTCTTTATCGTGGTGTAATACACATGGTGGCCATATTGGTAAGCCACCAGGTTCTGCTCCAGGTGGTTCTGGGCTGGACGTACAAACATCATCCAGTTACACAGAGTCTCATCAGATAATTCAAACCACAGGTCTTCATGCAAATCTCGGTCTTTTCTGTCCCCTTTATCAAGAGAAACCTGCAACCAAAGAGAAAGTAAAAAGCCACACCAAAACAAAAACAAAAACAAAACAAAACAAACCTAACTTTTGATATGATATACATTAATGTAATAATATACGAAACACCACTCCTGAAATTAACCATATATCCTGACTCTTCCTTTTGCATCTAGAAAGATCCGGGAATTGTGTCTTGCCAGGTGTAAAAGGAAAAGGCCACTTTTTGAAGACTCACTTGGAGCAGAATCACTTGGCAAAATGTTAACAATCTGGCAAAGAATCACCTGGCAAAATGTTAACACCAGTTAACAATCTCAGCATATAGATTCAGCTGATCTTCATCATTAATTAATACATCAAAAAATACTATAAATAAGCCAAGAAATGCAAGCAAAATACTCTCTTGTTCCTTACAAGTTGCTTACTTCAGAGATTCAACTGCATTCATTAATAAGGAGTAGCCTAGTGATACATATTTCTCTTTCCAAAGTAATATTCCTTCTTGAAGATCTTGAGTGTTCACTAAGGAAAACCTCCCATGACAGCAAATGACTTCTCAAAAAACACACCCCAAAGACTCTCCCTTCCTGCTGCCCTTTCTTGGTTCTCCAAGAAGTAGATAGCACAAGGGCTGCTAACGCACCAAATGGAAAAAAGACACATCGGTATAAATATATTTTACAATACAGGGAACTATTCTTTAGCAAAAGACTCAATAGGACAGATCTGTTTCAAAAATTAACAAGGGGTTTTCCTGAAAACCTTTTTGGTACTCGGCAGATTACATGAGTCTACGTCAAGTTAATTTGAAGAAGGAAAGAAAAAGTTGTCAAAGTTCCTATTATGGACTGAATTGTGCCCTCACCAAATTCATGTGTTAAAGTCCTAACCCCTCAGTATGTGACCACATTTGGAGGTGAGGCTTTTAAAGCATGAACTAAGTTAAAAGAGGTGATTAAGTCATTAGTGTGGGTCCCAACCCAATCTGACTGGTGTCTGTAAGGGCCTACTTAGCCAGAGCGAGCCATTTTGTTGTTTATGCAGGAAACTTAGATTGAACCTGCCCCTTCCCACCAAGAGAAAAGCGCTTAGAAACAGAATTGGTGAAATATGGCCAAATAGCCCCAATAGCGGAGCACAGATACCAGGACATGTCAGGCTGGGCAAAATAACGGAGCCCAGATACAAGGACATGTCCGGCCAGGTGGAAACGTCCAATCAGTGAAAGCGCACGTATTACCTCCCTACCCACCAAGGACATGTTCGGCCAGGTGGAGACATCCAATCAGGAAAGCACCTCCCTAACCACCCAAAAATTGTGGGCCTTGCCTCTTGGGTGCCAATTCTGACCAGAGCGATAGGCTAGTTCAAATAACTACTATAAGGTGAATTGTAATCCAACTGGCCACCTGTGTGTGGCCAGGCTCAACCACATGGCCTTTGCTCTATAAAAGTTAGTCTGTGAGGCTGGGAGGGGTCTCCTCTTTGCAAGAGACGGCCCTGGCCGGTCAGTTTGATTCTTGATGCTTGGCGCGAAATAAAGCCCTGCTTAACTTTCGCTTTGTATCAGTCTTGTCCTTTTGTCTACAGACCCTTTCAGTGTCCTTACAAGAAAAAGAGATCAGGACACAGGGAGAGACACCAGGGACATCTACACACACAGAGTAAAGGCATGAGGACACAGAGAGGAGACTGTGGACAAGCTGAGGAGAGAAGCCTCAGGGGAAATCAACCCTGCTGACACCTGGATGTTGGCCTTCCAGCCTCCGGCGCTGTGAGAAAATAAATTTCTGTTCTTTAAGCTCTCCCAGTCTATGGTATTTATTACAGCAGCTCTAGCAGACTAACACAGCCCCTAAGAACAACACCTCTCAGAATGACTCACAGAATGCCTTAGGGGACGGAGACTGCAACCTCCAACTTATTGGCGAGAGAGAGAATGTTTCCATTCAAAACAAATTAAACAGAAAAAACAAAAATAAAAAATAGAACAAAGCAGAGAAAGAAAAATACTAGCAAATAATGGTTATAGAATTGAATTAAGAGAACCCATAGGAAAACACATGCTCTCTTAAAAGTTATTAAGAACAAGAGTGAACTATATAATAAAGCATAAATTACCTTCAGATGAATGTAACAGTCTTTCAGCTCAGACTCCCTGACGAGGGGACCCTCCACAGGGCCAAACTGGGTGCGCTTGGGGATGCGCCTTTTGGAGAACACTCCTCCGAGGAACCTGTCAATGTAGAGGACCAGGGGGAGGCTCGCTCTGGCTCTGGTGAGCACAGGCCGGTTAGGGATGGGATGCAAGGGGCCGTGCTTCGGACACACTGAGGAATGTGCATTATTACACTCCTCACACCCTGCAAAAGAAAGAAAATCTTAAAGTCAAATTTCTCAGCGTCACTTGATCTCGGGGACAAAGTTCTAACCTGAAAAATCCCCAAACTCCAAAATTCAATTAACTCCTACAATTATACTACTCATTCAGTTGTAATTATGCTAGGTTTCATTAGACCAATAAAATTCTGTCCTGTGAGGTGCTTGAGTGGCTCAGTCAGTTAAGCGTCTGCCTTCAGCTCAGGCCCTGATTCCAGGGTCCTGAGATCAAGTCCCGCATCAGGGTCCTTGCTCACTGGGGAGCCTGCTTCTCCCTCTCCCTCTGTCTGCTGCTCTCCCTGTCAAACAAATAAATAAAATCTTTATTTAAAGAAAAGGGTGGGGGGCGCCTGGGTAGCTCAGTGGGTTAAGCCTCTGCCTTCAGCTCAGGTCATGATCTCAGGGTCCTGGGATTGAGCCCCACATCGGGCTCTCTGCTCAGCGGGGAGCCTACTTTTGCCTCTGCCTACTTGTGATCTCTCTCTCTGTCAAATAAATAAATAAAATCTTAAAAAAAAAAAAAGGGGGGATGCATGGGTGGCTCAGTTGGTTAAGTGTCTGCCTTCAGCTCAAGTCAAGATCCCAAGGTCCTGGGATTGAGTCCTGCATGAGGCTCCTTGCGCAGCAGGGAGCCTGCTTCTCCCTCTGCCTCTGCCTGCCAGTCTGACTGCTTGTGCTCTCTCTCTCTCTCTCTCTCTCTCCGACAAATAAATAAATAAAATCTTAAAAAAAAAAAAAAATCCTGTCCTGCTCCTCTAAAATCAGGCAGAATTAGCTTGTGCCTGCCAAAAATAATACACAGGCAGTGACTTATTTCTCTGCTGGAGATTAAGTCAAATAGTAGCTCAGTAAATTTACAAATCAATTATAACAGATCTGAAAAGAAAAAAGAAAAAAGAAGAGCTTATTAGGATAAATGCTGCAAAATCTGATAAGACAGAGAGTTGAATTTTAGAGTATGTAAATTATATCTCAGTAAAGCTATTTTTAAAAAACCCTGACAATACCATTTAATCAGTTTCTTCAAAGAAAGTCACTGAAGCTCATTGTTTAGGCATGTCTAACTCAAAGAGAAAAAGCACTGTACAGTTTGAAACTTCAATGCATATCGTGTGAAGGTTATCCTAAAATGAACGAATTTAGCATTCTATCCTTCATTGTCTTGAGTGACATACTTAGCCTAGCCCAGACAGGGCTCATTTTCAGCTCCTTCTCAAAGCAATCACTGAGCACTAAGAATCCACACTTACTCCCTCTTTCCCAGGGGCACCCATCTGTAAATTAACCACCAGAACTAGATGGAAATGGTCACAAAACAGAGAGAAGTGCCTGGACCCCAGAGGCATCATACTCATGACCCTTCACACACTTAATTAGCCAACTGTATTTTACCCAGCTGGGTGATGACCTGGCTTAGGAAACAGGTACTTCCAAATTCTACAACTCTCCAATAATGTAAAGATAAAGTCACTATATGGGTATTTGACTAAGGAGTTGCATTGAAAACTCGTGAATTCAAGGAAAAAATAAAACGAGGAAGTTCCCTATTAGATACAGAGGTGAGCGCTGGCCCCATGCAAAGAGGCTTCACCATCACCACACAGAAGGTCCCTGGAGATCTGGGGAAACTGCGTCAGTAATTCAAATAAATGAGATAAGAACTTTGCCATATAAGCATGAAAATGGATGGAAAGAAGCAATAATTTGGCAGGTGGAAGCAGGAACCCTCCCACCCTCTCCCCCAAGCAGCAGTACAGAGAGGCAGTAAGTGTTGTGGCTAATCAGGGGCACACGGGAGCTAGACCACCTGCGTTTGAACCCTGACTCTCACAACAACTGAGCACTACCAACCCCATCCTAAGACTCTGGAAAGCATTAAACAATGTAGAAAATGTAAAGCACAGGTGCATGGAACATAATAGGCCTGTTTAAAAGGTTACTGTGGAGAGGTGAGGCAGCAGAGCCAACTTGTTAAAGCTGAAACAGCAGAACATTCCAGGGATAATCGAGAACATTCCAGGAATATCTGAGGACCAGACAAATTTACTACACTGGCTCAGGGCTGGTGTCAGAGACAGGCTCCGTGCCTGAGCCACCACTCACCCCTGTTGTGAGTGTGTGGGAAGCAAAGCAGGCAGCTCAGCCTCTCCTGACCCTCGGTTCATTCATCAGCCAAATGAGAACCCTCCGGAAAGCTTCGGTGCCTCCCTCCCAGGCTGTTGTGAGGACCGAGCAAGATGGTGTGTGCAGAACAAGGAGCACCGCGTGTCTGCACACAGGAAGCCCCCAGCCAATGCTGACCGTGTTCCTGTGCTCACACCCCCGCCCCAGGAACAGCTCATACTTACATAAGTCATGCGGGTCGAAGGGCCTTGGGGGGTCTGGTTCCCAATCATCCAGGTCCGTGTCTTCACCATCTTCCTCCTCATCTTCCTCCGTATCTTCATCCTCATCCTCGTCTTCTTCCTCTTTGGCCTCCAGTCTGCCCATAGGGTTCTGCAGAGTTGCCAAAGGGTCTGAACCATCCACACCCTCAATGGAAGGTAACACCTGATTATGCACCGGTAATGAGGCCTGGACAAACAGTAACCATAAAGTTAGCACACGTTTGCTTTCAGTTAATTGGGTGTGCACACACACACATGCACGCACACACACACACATGCACACACGCCCCAAGGTTGGAAGATAGTCTTCATATCAGCTCCCTTCAAGACCTTGAAGAAGACATTATTTCCATCTCTAGACTGTAACGGATCTGCCTTCATTTTTGCCCCACCTCTGGGAAAGCTGATAGGAAAGCCTGGGTGCTCCCTTCTTTGGTGTGTGCCCTGTCTCCCCAGAGGCTTCTAAAACCTTTCCACACCCTCTCGGTGCATGTGTGGTATTGTGTCTCAACATCTGAACCTAATTTTAAGTCGGGGGGGGGGTCCCTCCTGCCTTTTCAGGGTAACCACGACACTGTGTACGTAATGATCTGATCTATCTTTAACCACTTCACTTTTAAAACTAAACATATGGTACAACACCCAGCTGGTAAAATTTAGTGGTTAACAGCCTCCTTTTACACACTTCAGAGAAGCTGAAGTTTTTAAGTAAGTGAAAGAGATGTTTATTTGTTTCAGGCTAAAATTAGTCTTTTAGGAATAAGAGAAGGTGTGGGGCATGTATTGGGTTACTACTACCTTACCAAATATACTAGCAAAAAAATAAATGGCACCTTAAAAAGTTCCCTGCCCGAATAAGTGTCTTGGGGTTCCATGGGACCCCAGATTCATTTATTTAATCTTATTTCTCCTGCCCAATTAGCACCATAAATCATACTCAAGCCATGTCCCTTTCCTGTTCAATGAATAAAGCAAGTTTTTTTAATGCCTACTCCATTTTTCTTTATCTTCCCCTATGTTGTTGTCCTCTCCTAGAATGTTCTTCCCTTTCCAATCTTCCAAACCCGGTGGTGGTCCAGTTTCTCCACGAACCATCCCTGACCACTCCAGGTCTCCCCAACGCTCCTCTGCTCTGACCCCTGCAGCATCTGGAGTCCGGAATCCCAATCCACAACATCATTCAGCCTCTGCTCCAACATTTCATCACCTCACCGCACAGCCTGAATCATTTGGGATGGTTCAGGGACAGTTCTGCGGGGCCAAGGTCTCCCCGTGTGCATCAATGGGCAGGACCTGCACCTGCCCCCTCTAGGGAGACAGAATCCGTGAAGACATGAAGGTCTTCAAATAGTTCAAGACCAAAACCCCTAATTCACTCAATCATGTTCACGTGGCCCAATTTCCAGATCCCTCATCATCCTGTTGTCTTCATTCATTCCTTAATGGATTCCACATTTCTTGATGAATATGGCTTCAGATTACATTAGCATTTATGACAACCATTGTTCTACTGCTGACCCAGTTTGAACTGGCAAATCACTAAAATCCCTGAGTCCTTTTTCCTCTCACACTGTGCTATTAAGCCATCTTACTCCTCCTCATGACTTAAATAGCTGATTTTTTACTTAAATGTGTGCATGTGTGGCAGGGGGGAGTTTTGCATTTATCACCAGTGTATTTCATTTCATCACTTTTTCTGTTCTTCCAATCTGCCAAGATCTTTTAGCATCTTGATTCTGACATATCACGTATTAGCTGGCCCTCATAGCTTTGTATCCATTGCCAATCACCATCTAGATTTCAATTAGTATGGATTTTCCTGTGAGCCCTTCTTGCCTCTCCAATGGCACCTCAGGGAAGTAGACCATGGGCTTTGGAGACACAAACTTGGATCAAAATCCTGGCCCCACCACTTGCGTAGGGGCGGGGGGGAAACCTCAGTTTCTGAAGCTCTGAACCTCAGTTTCTTTATCTGCAAAATGGATACAGCAATGCATACAGTATCAGCTACTCTGAAGAATAAGTGATACAGTACGTACGTGAGGCCAGTAGTAGAGTGTCTGGCATTTAGGAAGTGTGTAATGTTAGTAAGAATCGATTATTATTATCATAAGTCCTTGAAGGACCAAGATATCACATATGTCCTCCACAACCTTACAAGATGGCTGAGCATGTCGCAGGGATTCGATGGAGATTCATTCTAGAAATACATTTGGCCCTTTAGGAAATGACATCAATCCTTTCAGGCGTGTAAGGAACTCTACTACATTCACAGAAAATTCTTTTTCAGTTGTGCTTCTGAGAGCTTCTTAAACTCCATGAAGAAAAAGCATTGTGTGTGTTCACAGAATCCCACCTACCCAGCAGCTGAAGACCCCTGCCAGGCATCGGAAACACTCGGGCTCGGGGAGCGGCTAGAACCAGTTACCTCCAAACAGCGTGCACGTGTTTAAAACACACATCCATTTCACCCAGGAGCCAGACTTCTATGTGACACTCCGTCTCTGGCTCGGGGCCTTTTAGAGGCTTTATATACGAGGACACAGTTCTGGGAGATGCTTCAACATCAATAAAAACAGAAAGAGCAGGAGACTTCTGGCAATGAAACCGCAGGTGCCGTCGCACCCCCCGCCCCTGAACTCCCACCTGATCCTGCCGTCAAGCTATCCTGCTGTCTCAGAGCACCATTCCATTCTCACCCCTCAATTCTAAGCCACTTAAATTTCAGGCCAGCTTTGGTGATGAATGTCACCACACCGTAAACAAACTAAAGCATATATATCCACCTGGACTCCACACACATTTGTTATCGCTCTGCAGAGCCAACCAGAAAGAAGGAATTCAGGAATCCAGAGTCATCCCAGGGAAGCTGTGATGTATTTTTTTTTCCCCAACAGATGCTGCTAGAAACACTGCAGTTAGGGTTACCGCTGGCTTCTCGCCACTGCTGAGAAAGCTGACATGAAAACACTACCAACAACCTCCCCCCGACACACCCTGGCTGGAACTCTCCTAAAAGGCTGTCGCAAAGACAAGGCTTGAACACTTCAGCATTATGTTCAAGAACTGATGCCGAAACACAGGTTGCATGTAGACCAGAATCACGTGAGCTGCGGTTAGAAAGGGACAAAGGGGCTCATGATAATCACGACTAAGTCGCCACTGTGTATTTCTAGGTAGCTTGGACCTTATTAACACACAGTAGGCATGCCTCGTGCATTTGTTTAATGAATAATTCCAATTCAACGGACATTTCTGGAGAGCAAGGCCTGTATTTAAATTTCTTTGAGGCCAGGCAAGATTACCACACCGCTCCTAAGTGACAGAGATGAATTCAAATTCTGACTCTGCCCTGCCTTTTCCTCTACATCACAACTGCCCCTGTGGAGTTAAGTCTGTTATGGTGGAGGAGGGCACAGGGAGGAGTAAACTTCACACACGCCTTGAATACCAGAGCAACAAGGTGACCACACCTGCCCCTGAGGCACCAGCCCTGCGGGAAGGAGGTGAGCTGTGTGTGCCAATTTCACTTAGAGGAAGGGAAGAAGCAACAAGAACCTTAATCCTGTGCACTTTGTCATGCACAATAAAACATGGTAAAAGGGAGAACGAATTTGTTAAACTTACAGCATACTTTCTCCTTCCCACTTAATATCACTCTCTGTAATTATTTCTGAAATTACATAATGCATTTCAGGATACAATTTATCTGAGAAGTGGAATATGAAACTACACTGGACAGCAGCAAACACAACAGAATGCTTCTGGATTCCTACTGAGACCAATTACCAGTGTAGCATATTTCCTTCTCAGTGTGTGGGGAGTCACACATGTTCACTTTCACAAACAAAGGGGAGACTGTGCTTCTAGGTCTAGAGACTGCCAGTACCTTTTTTTTTTTTTTAAGATTTTATTTATTTATTTGACAGAGAGAGATCACAAGTGACAGAGAGGCAGGCAGAGAGAGAGAGAGAGAGAGAGAGGGAGGGAAGCAGGCTCCCTGCTGAGCAGAGAGCCCGATGCGGGACTCGATCCCAGGACCCTGAGGATCATGACCTGAGCCGAAGGCAGCGGCTTAACCCACTGAGCCACCCAGGCGCCCTGCCAGTACCTTTCTTAAGGACAAGGGAATGCATATATGAAAAAGGCTTCAAGTGAATTTTGCTACCACTGTAAACAACTGAAGATAGGAAACTTTTAGCTAAAGGGGGGGAAGGGAGGGGCAAGGAGAGAGTGGCCGGGGGTGGGGGGGTGGTACCCATCAATTGTGTTGAACTCTCATGCTAACTTTCTATCCAGAATTTTTCCAGGTCACAGAATAAACTGACAATCTCGGAGGTATTTATTGCAGCCAGAAATAAAAACCATGCTGGTTGAAAGGAAACAGCAGTACGGCAAGGTATGAAGCCAATAGTTACACTGCCTTGTAATGCCAGGGTTCACAGAGCTGAGTACAAAATGTGAAACGAGCAGATTGTTTCTGGAGATTAAAGAAGATGAAGGGCTCTTTGAGGTGCCAGTGGCAGCAAAAGTTCTAATTAAAACCATGCCTTAATATTAAAACAACAAAATGCCTATCAGATTGGCAAAGTTTTAAAAGAATGCAAATACTTAGTATGGCAAGGGTGAGTGGAAGCAGGTATTCTCATGTATTGTTGGTGGGAATGCAAATTTTTCCAGCATCTGAAAAGCCATTTAGAAAGTCTTATCAAAATAACTTTCCCATTTACAATAACAAATTTCAAACATGTGTCAACCCCAGAGACCAGCACCGATAAATTTCACGCATCGCTCAGCTTCGACAAGTATCAACTCTTGGCTAACCTTATGTCAACTATTCTCCCACCCACTTCCCCCCTCACTAGATTGTTTTGAAACAAACCTCTGAACTATATTTTCATCCGTAAATGGCTTAGTAGACATCTTGAAAGGAAAAGAACTTACATATTTTATGTATTACCATATCTAAAAAAACAGTCATTCCTTAATATCATCAAATATCTAGTAGATATTAGAATTTCCCCCAACTGTCTCATACTGCTGTTTTTAACAGTTAGTTTGTTGAAATCAGGACCTAAACAAGGTTCACATACTGCATCTGATATGTCTGTGAAGTCTCCTTGAATCTGTAAATTCCCATTCCCCTTCTTTTCCTTCACAATTTACATGTGGAAGAAATAAGCCATT